GGAGCCAGGGTATTAAATGCACAGGAAAATCAGCAAGGAAAATATGCTGCTCGTTGTTTTTATCTTGTTTTGTTTTTTTTGTTTTTTTTCGTTCTTAGTTCAAGTCACTGTATGTGTCAAAACTACCCTGTAATTTTCAAAATAGGAAAATCCAATTTTTCTTTGCATTCCTCCTGATGTGCCATATCAACTATGAAGTTAAAAATCTCCTCATGAAGCATAATGCTATATGGCACCATGAGCAGAAAAAGAGGCTGTATAAACACAGAGAGCTCGTGATCTTTCAATGGTTTCTTGAAAGATAGGCAAGGAAGATCTAGATCCTTTCTAGGTTTTCTAGGAAAAAAAAAGCCCTTTTTCTAGGGTTGCTTTCTGATAGGCAAGGAAAATCTAGATCATGGCCTTGAAAATAAACTATTCCTTTATTGTGCACTTTTCCTGTCCTTCCAAGGCTGTCCTAACATGTGGTTATTTGCCCATAATCAGACTTTCCCAAAGAAAGGCTGTCCTTCATAACAGCAGAAAAGCAGAGATCTTATCTGAGATTTCAGAAAGTCATGCTGTTATTACACATTATCTTTTCTAATTTAGGATCCTGATCAATTCTTCCTCTTTGCTTGGCACTAAAACAGCCCTGTTAAAACAGCTAAAATGCCAAGTTCCAAGTTTTCTACGGGCAGCAGTAAATGGAAGAGACAACCTGTGCATAAAGAGCAACCCTCAGGTGTGATCCAGTGTTTCACAAAAAGAGAAAGGGCTGGCAGTGCCTGCTGAGAGGCTCTCATGTGTGCAGGGATGATTTTCTCTTCCTCAAAAGCAGAAGCAGGAAAACGGGTGACTTCTGTCTAGGAGCAGGCAGCGCCTCGGCAGGCCTGAACTCAGGCACCCTCCAGTCTCTCTCCTAAAAACGTCACATAACAAACGTTGTGGAAAGCAGCCTTGGGTTCCAAGACACCACCAAAATGAACAAGTTCACTTTTGCAATTTTGCAGTTACATTTCCAGTATTAAGTTACAGCTTAATCACTAATACCTGTGTAAACAGACAGGAAAAAAGAACAGAGGAGAAATCCTTTTCCTTCTTCCCCCCAGTTCCACTATCAGCCTCTTTAAATAACAGGACAGGAGCAGAGATGGTTTCCTTGCAAAGCAACGAGAAGCACAGACTGGTGACATTCATTGTATAACTTACTTAGAGAAGATCAATTCTTCTGTGCTCTCACGGACAATTCCGCGAAAACTTAAGTTTCTTCACGCTGCAAGCACCTTCTATTGCCTTCCTATTTCATCTATGAACTCCCAGGAAACTCAGAGCCTGCCAGGTCAGGCGCCCAAGGTAACTTCCAAGGAAAGGTTGATGTAACGTCCACCCTCTTAATTAAAGACTTGCAGATTATAAACAAATATACAGCATTGTTTACAGTTTTGTTGCAATATAAAGTAAAATAATACCTTAATTAGAGCCAATGACTTTTTTAAGTGCCAAGAAAAAATACAGATTTTTTTCAAATTACCCAGAAAATGAACACATTTTATTTTTTGCTCTGTGACACTTCCAACTGTTCTGCCAAATGTATACTGCTATAATTATACTTTGCAATCACCGGCTTCACCGGAGAGGGGGACAAAGAATAATATAATCAGTAACTAATTAATCTTTCACATGCCTTGATGCTATACATCTTTGAGGGAAAAACTGCAATGTAATTCTCTAAATTGCAAAATAAATTTAAACATAAGCATTTCAGACTGTGCAGAATCATATCTTTATGCCTAATTCTGATTCCCAGTGCCTGGTGGAAGTTAAACACCAGAATTCAACATCTGCGTTTTTTAAGGCAGTCGTCAACTTTTGTCATTTAAGCACATGCTAATTGATAAAACTGTACAAAACTGCGATGACAAATCCAGCTTTTGATACCACCCTTCTGAGATGATACGCGCAAGAGCATGGCGGTTTATTGAAATGTGCAGGAACACATCCTGGAAAACAGCTTCGGGACTGAAAGCAAATATTCAATTTCGTATTTAAGAAGCCACCAAGGGGAATCACAGGCACCTAGGAGATAAAATTACTTACTCAGCCTCATTAAAAGCGAACTAATTGCTCCCACAGTAATAGAATCAGATTTTTTTTTCCCCCATTGAGTATTAGCAGAAATTTGGTAGTACTACTGCCATACTACCATTAACTTAAAGACAACAGGAAACGCAGCGATGCAGTCGCTCTGTTACTGAATTTGTGTGATTAGTTGCTCTAAGCAAATATCCAAGCTGCCGCAGGCCCCGGGCAGGCAGTTTTTGGAAACTGAATTCCAACTCAGGACCATTTCCTCCCACCGCTCCAAATGATACAGATTGATGAAATACTGTGTGGCACAACCAGTACAACGCTGGCATCTCTTTATGGACATAGCTACATATTAATGTCTGCTCATCACATGCTTGCATGCGAAACAATTTATGACTATATATATATATATATAAAATCAGCAATAAGTAATCACTGTAACTTGTTTGAGTGCCACTTGCAATAAGAAAAGTGTATCAAAAATAATTCTCTTTTGAGGAAAAAGGTTGAGAGAAGAAAGCTGTACAGGAAGCACCGAACAAAAAAGCAGAGGGAGAAGATGCACCAGCTTTTATAGCTGTACCCCTCCTCAAATTTCCCCAGCTTCATAAAACATGATTCATATCTCAAAATATATAATATTTAGGTTTCATTATGGGAGGTACAGAGAACAATTCTGCATATTTAATTTCTAAGCCTGAACAGGACCATATGCAGAGAAAAGTCTTTTTAAAACAAACAACCCTCCCAGTTCCTGTCCCACCGCCTGCATTGCGGAGTGGCACGGACAGTGGTTTAAAAACAGCAGCCACAGATATGTTTACAAACCTCAAAGAGCATTTGGAAATTTGAGCAGAGACGCTCAAGAGCAGAATACTGCTTGACATTTTAAAAAGACAAATTGGATTTCTGCAACCATAAAAAAAAAAAAAACTTTAACTGTTTCAGCATAACCATTTTATTACCCCATTTTCCTCTCATTGCTCATTTTCTACCCAGGCTGCCCACCCCGTTCTTCCAGCTCATCTATTTGATTAGTATTAGAATTCAGAAAGCGGGGTTTAAAAAAAGTAAAAATAAACATTTTTTCCCCATATTACCTTCATCTGCATCAATCCCCCGCACTGCACGGCTGCACAAACAGATTTGACCCCTGAGAGGGAGTGAACAGCGCAGAGGGGGGCAAACCAAGCCAGAGCAAGGGAGCTGATGGAGCAGCGTCCCTAAAAGCCACCACGCAGCCTGGGAAGCCACTGCCTTAAAGAGCTAATGCTCTGTCCCTGCTGCCGCTCCTCCCCGCTCCGTCACCAACTACTTCTCCCCAGCTGCCCGGATGATCAATACGAGAAGCTGAAAACTCCTCCACGTGGATCCTGCAGCCTCGCTGCCACAGAAGGCCCCGGTCCCTCCGGCCTGCCTCAGCCCTAACGCCCACGGCTGCCGGTTCAGCTCCCCAACAGCAAAATAACCATGTAAATCACCAACCTTCCTGCCAAGAGAACATTTATTATGGGGGGCAGACAGAGGCCATGCAAGGGGGAACTAAGGCCTGAACGCAGAGGCCAGGAAGAGCAGGACCAGGCCTGAGAGCAGCAGTCTATCCCTGCACCATGCCCAGAGGCTGTAGCAGAGGCGCCTGGCACAGGGGACATCCCTCCTTCCCCATCCTCAGCAGTACATCCCCCCGGGATTTGTGCAGGAATTAGCCTTCAATGAGCTGCTTCAGCCAACCGCTTGTCAAGCAGATCCAGGAGCGACAGAAAGGAACGTTCCGGATCAAGCAAGCGGGAGGCTCAGACCTACAGTGGGGTTACTCAGCTAAAGGAGTGTGAAGCTGCTCCCTTTGCTGCGCTGGTGAATGCCCTTCGCTGGCAGCGCCAGCCAACTGGCCCTGCGCTTCTCATCCCCCCTCTCAGACTTCAGGGCAGCTTTTTGTCAGCTCAACAGCGACCTGCACTGAGGAATGTACCTAAATGGAAAATAACCCAACAAAAAAGGTTTATTTTTAATGCAAATCATTTTCTCCACTATCTCATAATGGGGTTACACTAACAATACTGGCACACGTGGAAGGAATAAAAATGGGACAGAAATAAGCTGCCAGGAACTGCACACACTAACATAATTGCTAGGAAAAAAAAATCTAAAAACTGAGGAGTAATTGCTTCAACTGGAGCTTACTCCTTCAGTGTCAGACATGGTGAAAAGACCACATGCCCATAAATCTGAATGCTTTTTGCACTTACATCAGTTAACTTTTTAACATAAAAATTAATACAGCCCAAATCATTCATGCATTTAAACAAACAAACATAAAACAACGAAAAAAACAGTACACCTTATCCCTTGCCGTATTTTCATGCCCAATCAAAAAGAAAGAGTGCAAAGTATCAGGAATCAACAACTCAATGATTTCTAGCGCTGGATAAAATGATTGACCCAAATTGAGTGCATCCCATCCACAGGCATCTTTATTAATGCTCATTAAAGTTTTGGGTTCTCTGGTCAGGATTTTCTTTTCTATTTCCTTCCTACGATCAGATTCAGTGTCTTCAATCAATCAATATGACATAAATGAAGCTTAGAGACAGATCCCAGAGACCATTACCTGGCCTTCTGATCCTTTTGTGGTTGGTATTCTACAAGAAACTGCAAACTTTTGTGACATTTGGGAAAAACATTGTAGAAAGCCAAGCTGAAAGCATACTTAATTTATAACAGTACATTAGAGGTCAAGCACTACTTGCTTTTATTTGTCTAGCTCTGTTTTTGTCTAACAGCAGCATTTATGCACAGTTAATAGATCCTCAACAGGAATTACAACCTAATTAAAAATAAAAGGAAAGACCAAAAAAAGTCCAATCTCTAGAAAAATCATTAATCCGCAAAGTTAATTAATGCAATAAAAATTATAAATTCAAGTATCTAACCTTCAAATATACGGTCCAGACGCTGCCGCTTCACTTTGTGTTTGTCCATTAGAGACATAAGAGAGGAAGCTCAGAGAACGTCTCCACACAGTTTGATGATGGACTTCTCAGGTCAGACACAACTCAGAAATATCTAGCTTTCTGTAAACTTGCTTTCACCTGTGAATAAAAGCATAAACTTCTTCAACTTTCATTGCAGAGCTGATGATTTCTATATAAATCAAGCAAATGAGAAAACACACAATGTTCTTAAACACACTGGACAACTTGGTGCTTCACAGCAAACTGCCCTGCAAAACATGGAAAGATGCAAAATGCAGAGCACAGCTCACCAAGGCAGCTGCTGTTTTCTGCCTTTTGACGCTCAGATACCTTTCCCCCCTTTCCTTGAGCACCCAGCCAAGGCAGGGAAGTTATTTTTGTTTCCCTCACCCAGGCACAGGGGCACGATTCCCATGAAGTGCCAGAAATCTAAGCACCTGCACCGATACCACGTACACGCATTTGCGTCATGATGCTTGCAACAGTTGACAAAACAGTCTTCTCACTCCTAACTTTTAAGCTTTCAAGAATAAAAACAAATCTGAGTTCGACACAGGGAAGTTCAAGGAAGAACCAGGGGGCAGAGAGCAGAGGAAGCACATCCAGGGACAACGCAGGATGCCAATATCTATATCACCTAAATGGCATTTAAAGCAGCCTCATGCATGACTAGGCAGGCTCTTTGGCAGCAGATACAGCTAAGCACTTTTCAAACCCTGCGTAGCTGGGCACGGCAGCGTGAGGGGATTGCAGCAAGCAGCCGTGTGTGCAGCCAAACTGCGGAGAAGGGGGGAGGCGGCGAGAGCGCCATGAAAAATATCTGCACACAAACCTCATCCACACGCTAGATTGTGCAAAATGCACACGAGCAAATGTGCTGCGCAACACTAAGTATACAGAGGCTTTAAAAAGCATACTCAGAACCCCACACTAATTCTCCTTTAGATATCTGATAGACTTGCAGAACCGAGCTCACAAAACACTACGCTACAATCCCAGCACACACTAAAACCAGCCGAATAATCAACTTCCCCCTTTCTTTTTATTACTGCCCAAAAGCTTTCGACATCAGTGGAGGGCATTAGATGGCCTGGCAAATGATTGAGCATAGTAATCTGCTGGCCTCTTTGTGGTTTACAAAGATTCATGTACACGGAGTGAAACGATCAAGTAAAACAGTAGGAATATCAAGAATTACATATTTGCATTAAAATAGGTATCTTTATAGGCACTGCTGGGCATATTTGGATTTTAAAAAGCTCCCTTCTGTGTGTTTATTTTCATTTTAAAATGTAGATAATGTGCAACAGTCATCAAGATTTTACTTTATCGCTTTACTCGAATCCATCCTCCTGTTCACATTTCTTCCACTTCTTTTTCTTCATCTTCAGAGATGAGATTCTTACACAGTGTTGGATAATGACAAATTAATGTAATATTCCAACATAAACAGGAGAAAAAAAATGATGAACAATGAAGCCCATTTCCCCTCTTTAAATAAAGAAAAAGGATGCTGCCATTTTCAAAATTTCTTCAACATTGATTATTGTTTCAATAGACAATAATCTTCAATAATGGATGTGGTCCTGCTACAAGATGACACAAGCATTACCCCAGATCCAACATACATTTTGCAGACCTTTAAAGCCAGCCATAGCTACCCACCTTTCTTTAACCCAACACCCCCAACTTGTAGGTAGAACCAATCCTAAACTTGTATTTATTTCCCTGTCATTTCTGTTTTATAATCCTGTTCTTCAATAGGCACATGCAAAACTCTAGAGGATAAGGAACAGAAACTAGAATATACCAAACACTGTCTTCATTTAAAGGGTTTATGGCTTATTTAACACCCCATGTTGTAGAAACATATATGTTTGCTGCCCTCCTTGCACTCTGCTTTATTTACCCATTCAGGAAAAGACTTTTTCCACTGTAGTCACTCTATGTATGAAACTGGATGACAGCTGTAAAAAAACAAACCATCTGTAACTATTGACCTACTGCTGAAAGTGTCACCAGATGTTTTCTATCTGTCTACAGTAGCTTGAAAGAAAACCATATAAATCAAGCCTTTTAATTTATTTCAAGCATTTTTAAAAAATATTGACTCATTTGTTTTATTCATAGCAAGTTGTCATAAGTTTCAGAAAACATTTTAAGGCAAAAATCAAATTAACATGTTAACATAGTTTTAATTTTAGCTGGCACACAGTTTTATTATACTTTACGTTCTAACACAAAGAAAAGATGATGATATAGGAAGCATTTTCCACAAAACAAAAGCCTTATAATTATGAGAGCAATTACTAAACTCCAACATGAGTAACTGTATTTGAGAAAGTCACTAAAAATACAAGCACTGCCTAAATACGAATGACAAATCAGAATACAAAATATCAAAATGTATTTAAGAGTAGTCTTCTGTAGCTCAATGTCTTAAGATAAAGTAAAAATCTAAATCATTTAAGGAAATATACTGCTTACTCTATGACAAGTGGTTGCTACAGTCATTTGAGATGTTGCCAACGTACAGAACCCTTTTGGGCAGGACAATTTTTAGAATAAAATGTAGGTTGTTGGTGGAGAGTATTAAGAGTTTTTAATTTAATTTTAATGAGTGATTTCAGCTTTGAACATTATTTTTTAATAAGGCATGGCTCTGGGTATTGAGATCTAGTGCATTTAGCTCTTTGAGGAGAGGTTTACTCCAAGACTTCAAGAAAAAAGGAAAAGAGAGAATATCTCCATTCAACAGTTCTATATGGCAGGAACCAAATCCTACATGCCAAATTAGGCATGATAATTAAGAAAGCATTTTTGAATTCAGTTTTCAAAGTAGGTAACATTGGTAATAGAGTAAAGGATAAACATAAGCTGTGAGTAAGGAGATTTTCAGTAAAGGTCCACTCAAAGCTCATGATTTTTCTCTAGAGAAAGAGGATGAAAAGAAAGCAAATGCTAAAAACGCATAATAAAAAAGGCAAACCAGAAGCAAATTATATAGTTATATATACACTTACAGTTATAGACAAATTCCAGATTATTAAGACAGAAAGTCCTCCAGCACTAAAGGTTGCAGCGTAGTGGGAGAACTTTATGTAGAACAGATCCCACTTGCACTAAATTGGAACAGGTAGTGAAAGCCTCTGCCTATCAGAGAAATTACCAGCTCTATCACACACAACCACGCAGCAGATAGGCTACTCGCAGAAAAAAATAGAGTATCAGCTTTTCTAGGCATATACTTTTACCTCTACAATTAGAAAAGGTGGAGTATTGATGGTTACCTCTGCCTTGTTACCATCTTCCTTTCCATGAAAGGCCACTCAAGTAAGGCAATGAATAAGAAAACCAAAAAATAAAAGAAATTCACAGCACAAACTGGTAGATCATTAATAAATGTATGTTATGAAGCTCCACATTATCCTTTGGGAATCTTGATTTTCATTTGCCTAATACATGTTGCCTGGTTTGAAACTACACAAAGGTGTGTGTGTGTGGGGGCGGGGAATAAAACTTAATAAGGTGTTTCAACACCCATAACCAGAAGGACTCACAGGCTCACAGACAGACACCATCATCATGGTTGGAAGTCGAAGTTAGCAGCAGTGGAGATATTCCATATCCCAAATGGTTCCCCAGATATTAAAATAGGGGGGGGGGGGGGATGGGGGAAGGTGTCAAAATTTGTTAAAATTCAAAAATACATTCTGGAATTTTTAAATTTCATTCTTTCCTAAGGCATAATGTGGTGGTCTTTCTAAAACCTAAACCAATGGGCTACCCACATAGAGGAATTACTCAACCTATAGAATATCTGCTTAAGTAAATCATCAGTGTTTCTCAGAACGCAACTATTGCTCTTGCTAGATATTTCAAGAATATGAAATTAAACAAAGGATATAGAAGAAACTCAAATAAGAGGAGAAAGAGTAAAGTGTTTCCATGCTTCTTCAAAATGCAGCAGTATTAGCACTGCTGCTATACACTCCCTGTTCTGAAGTTTTGCAGGACAACATTTGTTCTTAGACTTATTTCACAGTGATGTCCTCTATGGAGACACTGAGACTTCTACTGCAACTTACTGCAGTATAAAACCCAAACATCACTTACATTGTACTGAAAATTACTCTTGCAAAGCTTTAAAATTCCTTTAAAAAAAACAGTGCAGCACCAGGAACACAACAGTAGATTCACTGCCAGAAGAGAAAAGTTTAAAATCAGACTTTCTGAGAAAAACTGGAGGGAAATAATTCCACGTTGTCTTATAAAAATGAATACTGAATGAAGAAAATATATGTATGTTGGCCGGTCTTGCCATTACAAATGGTTAAGTCACTTTGCGTTACCATTAGATGTCAGTGCACTCTAAGAGAAACTGGATGGGGAGCTTCCAGGATCAATAAATTAATCATAAAAGCCAAAAGACGCCTGAAATGAGAGTCAAAAACAACATTAGACATGATCAAGAAAGGACTAAAAAAAAAACCCACAAAACATTATAACAGCTTTAGCTAAATCATTACCTAAATACATTTCAAAAAAAAAAAAAAGAAGAAAGTAACAACAGGGGGAAAAAAAAAAAGCTTCGGGACAGGGACTAACGTTGGACAACCTTGCTTAAGAGGAGGAAAGCAAATGCACCAGCATGCTGCAGCTTGACAAGGACACTACGTGGAATATGACAAATGCGCATAAAAGCTGCACTGGGTTTCAACTCAGTAATTCAGTAAGCCGGCATATTAAACAGAACAGGAAGCTTTTTCACAGAGTATGTAATTAAACTGTGAAATTTGGTGTCACAGGTACTGCAGATGCCAAAACTGTAAGTGGTTTTTAAAAGGAACTGGACAAATTTATGGAAAATAAAAGCCATCAGTGGCCATTGGTAATGCTGGCCAAAATGCAAACCCAGAGCAGAAATCCATAAACAGACAGATGCCAAAAGCAAGAAAATATCAGAGCATGCTTGCTTTTTCCTCCTACATAGCAATTGCCATGCTACGCTGAGCTGTCCAAAATGTCCATCCAGCTCAGCATTCAAAAGTTGCCATGAAGGGGGATATTTCAGAAAGATGAAGAGCAGAACAAACACG